AGATAATGAGGTACAGAGTATAATATTTCACTAGAACAAATAACTGGGGAAAATATAAGTTAATGGAATTTTAAAATTTACATATCTAAATACTGGGATGATAGAATTTTATTAATAGAATACAACTGCATACCTCAATATATATAAACTTTTAAAATGTTTCAAAAAAGCAAATGGCAGCAGTGTAAGTTGTATATATACCATTGTTCACTTGCTATTTGAGTGATAACACAAAATGTACAACAAAGATGATACACAATCTAGGATAGTTGCTATCTATGTGAGGATTTAGAGGAATGGGAACAGGAGAGAAGCATACAGATAGATGTAATATTGATAATGTTCTGGTGTAGTCCAACCCCGAATGCCCTGGCTCTGGTATCTCAAGATGCTTTCTTGTTCGGACATAAGGCCTTTGCAGATGTAATTTTTTAGATCAAGCCTTTGATCCGTTATGACTGAGGTCCTTATAAGAGAATTGCTAGGTGAGAATGAGACAGAACAGGATGTGAAAATGAAGGCAGAAATTGAAGTGCTGCATCCACTAGCCAACAAAGTCCTGGAGTTGACAGTAAATCATCAGAAGCCAAGCAAGAGGCCTGCAAAGGCATCTTTCTCACAATTAAGGAACCCAGTTCTCTGACACCTTGATTTCAGACTCCTAAGCTCCAAACTGTTAGTTTATGACTTAAACGGTGGAGTGTGTGGTGCTTCATTCCATAGCCCTAGGGAAACTAATGTAGTCCTTAAATCTGGGCATAGATTCATGAGTATTCATAATTCATGAATCACAAATGTGTTCATGTATTAATTTTATCAAATAGTTACATACGTAATGAAAATGAAAATACAAAAGCTCTTATTTTCATTCCAACAGACATGTTTCCACTGTTAATCTTGACCACAAATTTTAAAATATTTTGATAATTTTATGTAAAGAACAGCAAACTATAAACTATTAAAACTATAAAAATTAACCTTCATTTTATGGCTTTTATGACATTGTAACCCAACATCAGTATCACTGAATCCCTATTGTACTTCCTGTTATTATATAGTGGGAATTTTATGAAGAAATCCTAATCCTGGGGATCACTGTCAAACGCACACCTCTCATGAAACTTTGTCTCCTTGTAAATAGGTTGCCATCAGCTGTGTCTCCATTGAGATAAAGGGATATCTGAATATCTAAATATCTAAATATCTAAATATTCTGAATATCTAAAATTATTTCATAATCTTGGGCCTGCATGCCATAAAAAGGTATAAGTAAGAAAATGTTATTATTGGAAAGCTATGCATAGAATTTAAAAGTGGTGACAAATCAACTTCTTTTAAAACGTTATTCTCTCAAGAATATTTTGAAGCACCCTGATGTTCTAGCCAAGGACCTACACCAAGACATGGGCTTGTGTTTCGTTTATATGGTTATGTTTTTGCCTCACAGAAACAGTGCATTGCAAATAGTAGGTGCTGAGTGAATCTGCATTAATTTACTGGCGTGCCCACTTATTAGAAAAGGAAATGCATCGGCATTTCCTGCCACTATTTCCCACTGTTTTTTGACCTATTAGTTTCCTTTTTCTACTCTTCACCACTCTTTCCTCTTTATATAAGCTCTGAGAATCTGTCTTTGGAGACTCGGGAAAGCCCTCCTCCCATCTGTGCTAACCACCCCACCCCCAGCCATGTGTTTTTTTGAAGGTAGTTAGCTCTGTATTCTTCTTTACAGCTTATTAGCTTGCATTATTAGTTGTGGCATCTCTTTATGTCAAGATGATGAAATGTAGGTGCTTTAAAATTCTATTTAATACTTAGATAAAATGAGTATTAAAGAATAAATTTTGAAAGAATTCTAATACATGCAAAGTAGATTTTTTTAAAGTAGAGTTTATGTGGAAAATTTGAAAAAGGATGTGTTGCTTTGAATATACTACTGAATGTTATGGTTTGACACTTCATTAGTGTCAACAGAGTCCCCAGTTCCCCCTTTCAGCTCAGTAACTAGAGCAGCTTATGCTGTTAAGATGCTCCACTGAGAGTTTTCATGATCCTGAGCTCTCATGCTGGAAATGCTGACTGAGCATTCAATAAGTCAGACCAGAGGCAGGCATTGTCTTGGGTAACAGAGACCGGCAAGACCTCTGTAAGAATTCATTGCATGGGTGAGACATAAGGAAATGATAACTGCGATGCAATGTGGTTAAGTGCTATTAATTATTAAAGGAAAGAGTAATGCTGTGTATAGTTCATGATCAGTGTGGCTTACTGCATGTTTTTATTTTTTGGCGGGGGGAGGGGGGGCGTGGGATGATATACAGAAACAACATTTGTCTGGCAAGCAAAATAGTGAATTCCCCGACCACACCTGAGTAACCTTAATCATTTTGAAGTCTCTTGCCATCTGCCACAGGCAAAAACTGCATAGCCATTCTTTGCTTCCTTCAGTGGCCAACTTATTTTGCCTAACTTTTGCATTTGGTGCTTTTCCAATTTCTAGGAATGTAGAGACCACTTCTGATTTTAGAATGGAGAATTGGGTTTTATTTTTGAGTAGCACTTTCTCAGATATAGCAATAGATTACTACAATAAAAAAACTAGTAATAGATTTATGTGTATTTAAATGGGAGAACACATGATGGCTAGAAACAAGTGAAAGTAATATTGGCAAAAAGCAACTGCTCGGAAGCTCCATGTTTCGGATAATAATTTCGAATGCAAAAGTGAGATTATCACAAAATGATCTCTACACAATCTTTCCCATGGACAACCCTCTGGGCATGCACACGCTAGCAATCCTTTTACCAGCTTGCACTAAAGCTTCTTCATACTTTGCTGGTTTCACATTTGTGTCCCTCCACCCTTCCCCTTCTCACGTTTTGAAAGCCGGAAGCAAAACAAAACAAAACAAAACAAACAAACAAGCAAACAAACAGACAAACAGTAAAGGTCTGTCCTCAGGGATGGCTAACCATAGAGCTATGGCCTTTCTATTCCCAGCACATGGCTTTGAATACCTGTTTTGAACTCCCTGCAGATGTCCACCACGAAGTCCTCCCTGAGATAGACCAGTTCTTTCTAAGGTTTTGTATCCTTCTGGACTAGGACTTGGATTGAATGAGTTCAGAGATGCGAACTTCCACCTGACGTTCCCATCCCCCTCAGGCTTCTGCTCTCCTGACTTGTACATTCAGAGATAGACTCTTGCACTTGAAATCGAGTTTTAAACCGAGTTTCCCTCGCTGTCTCGGCGGCCATTGGCAGCTCGGTTGCTGAAGGGGTGCCTTGGTCTGGCTCTGGGGCAGTGGAAAAGGGGGCGGAGAGGAGAGAGAAGAGGAAGGGGCGGAGGGCACCCACGCCCTCCACCCCGCCCCGGCTGAATCTCCGTTAGGTGCAGACAGACAGGAGCTGCGGAGCGCGCCCGCCAGGTTCCGCGCTAGGGGAGCGCGCGGCAGGACGAGCGGAGAGCCGCCAGCGGGAGCCCTCCAGGGGCGCGGGGCTGAGCTCCGGGAAAACCACCGAGTCGGTGGTGCAGGGCGGCGCGCCATGGCGAACCGAGCACCAAACTCCTCCGTGCACTGGAGTGCCCAGCCGGCGAATGCCAAGGTAAGTGACTTTTCCAGGGGTTAGATTCCCACGCGTCAGCCTCCGAGTACTCTACCAGAACCGGGACGGTAACTGCAGCCGGTGGCCACTGGCAGCAAGTTTGGACCAGTTTCCCAGACTGGAGAGACCCAGGGAAGGAGAAAGGTGCTCTGCTTGGCTGAACTGTCATCCCAGCTGCACTAATGAGGACAGGAGAGAAGGGATCTCAGAGAAGGGTAATAGGCATTCTATATGCTCTTCTCATCTCCTTTCCTGAGGTCTCCTGGGGGCAATGCTTGAAGTTCTAGAGTATGGCTGGCATAGACCTTGGGCGCCCTCCAGGGTGGGAAGAAAAACAACCCTCTGGCGTTTGAGCAACTGTAGAAAGTTTGGGCAAGTTAATAGGTTTAAGGAGGATGTTGCAAGCAGATGCCTGGGGGCAGCAGTAGTGGTGGTAACCGGTGAAAGTCAACCTGTGAGTAAGGCCTGAAGGAAGCCGATGCCCTAAGGTCAGTTCAGGCGTCCCTAAGTCTGGCCGGTCCCAGGAAAGGCTGGCTCCGAAATCCCCAGCATCCCGGAAAGCGGCTAGGGAAAAAGCCAATCAAATTAGTTCAGGCGGGGTGGCTGTGGTCGTTGTGTATCCAGCGCCTGTGACTCAGGCTGCAACCCCTAGGGAAGGAGCCAGTGACAACTAAGAACTTTGCCTTGGATGTTGCTACTCGGGATTTGTGAGCTAAACTCCACTCCACGTGGGCAGCTGTGCACAGAAGGTTTGCCACCTGTCTTCACCTTCATTTCGCTAAGTGGCTTTTCAGTGGAGGTGGTTAGCTGCATCCTCGCTGCGACTCACCCCTCAGTCTCCCCGTAGTCCGTGAATGTAGGATTTGCTATTATTTGAGGTTTTAGAAGCATAGTCATAAAAGCACCATTTAGCACCAGTGAACTCCCTCCTTCCGCTCCCAAAGTTTTGAAGGATTGTTAGCGCTGCCTGACCAACAGGTGCAATAATCTGCAGTCACGGCCACGCCCATCACAGAGGCAATGGCAGTAACTTTGAAAGGTCATTTGGTTCCTTAAAAGCTTTAATATGCTTCAGAAATTCTTATTAGGTGAGAGCTTGTTCACAAACTTGTGAATTTTATAAGTTTTGAGGTCCCTGGTTTCAAAAGGACGTTTCGGGGCACCTGTTTACAGAGTTAACTAAGGTTAACTAAGGGGTTTAGGGTGTGGCAGATTCTTTAACCTCCAAATGAATGTAGAACCACAGGCAATGGATGCTGCCTTCAGTATGATGCAACCTTGCTCGTGATAGGCTAGATACATCCAGCCCCACCACAGGATACTGGGGGCACTTCAGTCTTAAATGTCAGATGAGCAGAAGTGTGGTGTTTATAATTCCTTTCTCTTTATGCTACAGATGTCTGGACTGCAAACCTGCACAGTTTTGAGAGGGAAATGACTGGAGTGTCCAGCTTTTATCTCCACGACCATGTCCATGAACAATTCCAAACAGCCAGTATCTCCTGCAGTTGGGCTCCTCTCAAACTCAACCTGCCAGACGGAAAACAGGATCTCAGTATTTTTTTCAATAATCTTCATGTCAGTGGGAATCTTATCAAACAGCCTTGCCATTGCCATTCTCATGAAAGCCTATCAGAGATTTAGACAGAAATCCAAGGCATCGTTTCTGCTTTTGGCCAGTGGTCTGGTAATCACAGACTTCTTCGGACATCTCATCAATGGAACTATAGCAGTGTTTGTATATGCATCTGACATGGACTGGACTCACTTTGATCAATCAAATGTCCTCTGCAGTGTTTTTGGCATCTGCATGGTATTCTCCGGCCTGTGCCCACTTTTTCTAGGCAGTGTGATGGCTATTGAACGCTGTATTGGAGTCACCAAACCAATATTTCATTCCACGAAAATTACATCCAAGCATGTGAAAATAGTGTTGAGTGCTGTGTGCTTGTTTGCTATCTTTATAGCTTTGCTGCCCATCCTTGGGCATCGAGACTATAAAATTCAAACGTCAAGAACCTGGTGTTTCTACAACACGGAACATGTCGAAGACTGGGAAGATAGATTTTATCTGCTACTTTTTTCTTTTCTGGGGTTCCTCGCCCTGGGTGTTTCATTCTTGTGCAATGCCATCACAGGAATAACACTTCTAAGGGTTAAATTTAAGAGTCAGCAGCACAGACAAGGCAGGTCTCATCATTTAGAAATGGTCATCCAACTCCTGGCTATCATGTGTGTCTCCTGCATTTGCTGGAGTCCATTTCTGGTAAGAGTCTAAAGTTTTGACAGTTTCTTCTTCCTTGGGTTTCTCAGTGTTCAGTATCATTTGTTGTCTGTTTTGGCATTATCGGTCAGGTAAATCAGTCTTGGAAAATCTAGTTTACTCCTGCTCAGTGTTTTTCAACCATCATCTCTAGCTCAGGATGAAAGCTAAATAGGACAGATATGATGATTTTTTTCCTTACAAGCCCTAAATTGAAGTACATGTGGTGCTAAGCAGTTTTAAACACAGTTATTTGCTTTGCTATGGAGAAGTTTTATTTGAAATATATCTTCACAATACTATATATGATTAGTTTATGAGAGAGGGAGGGGGACCTACATTAGGATAGATTCGAGTACATTTTGGTGGAAAGTCACACAGACTTCATCTGTAGACTTGCCAGGTTAGTTATTGGGTTGTGAGCTTGTAATGATTCAGTTTTGACTTGGAGATTGGCAACGGATTTAGATACTTGAATAGTTCCAGTGTACTGTATGGGTAGTTGAAATGAGAAAACCACTAGCTCTCTAATCTAGGAATCATGCAGGGAGAAGTATGATTCCAAGGAGTTCTGGGATTCTTTCCTTTTGTCTTCATTCCTTTTTTAAAAACATAATTTTTTTTTAATATTTTGCTTTTCACGGTATGGTTCCTGAAGCTCAGAGATTTCCTCTTCTGCCCTCTCCCAACCCTTCCCTGCCACCGTTTGCTGCTATAGTGTAACAATAGATTAGCCTCCCAACAAGTCACAGTTCCATCATTCTACTTATTAAATGCATCCTGACATTGTAGGTAAAGAGGATGGTGTAAAGTCTAGCAGTTAACTGTATCTTGACACTAGAATGCTGAACTTTTCATTCCTTTTTAAAAAAATCATCATTTATAGCTTTATTTGGAAACAAAGGCCAAGGTTAATGAAATAACAACAAATACAAATCGTATTACCCTCTAAATAGAAAACAAAAGAAAACAAAAATGATGGTTACAATGGGTTTTAGTTTATGATGGAGACAATTGACTTGATGCTGGAAAGAGTGACAATATGCTATGAAAGAGGAAAAAAGAATCCTTCTGCATCAAATGTAAATGACAGCAAATTTGGATTTCATGCCTTTTCCTTAACAATGGGGAAGTAGGCTTGTCTCCAGACATGGTGATACAGGTGTTACAAAGGTAGAAATTGGCAAAAGAAGGCATGCCGACCAAGGTTAGAGTTATGGCTTACATGACCAAAGGAGGGTAGTTTTGCTAATATATTTTTTTCTAGCCACCTAAAATCACGTTTTTCCCTAAAAATTGTAGTGTGTTCAGTTTTAAAAAGCAATCTGAATGATTTTGAGACATATAAAGTTAATGAAAGTTGATGCAGCAATTAGATTCTGTTAGAGATGATTTGATAAAGAATATCAACTTTTCCAATGTCGCTTTATGTTATTGCTTCATAGTTAAGACTTAGCTTCGTGTTTAAGCTTATTTTGTATTGTTCTCCAAGAGGAGAATGATGCTGCCAATAGCAATTTATCTTTTTGAGATTTGCTTGTCAAAACCCAAGCAAAGGACTGCTCTGTGCTTGTAGGATGGATATTTGAACTGGGTACCAAGGACCGGTTCTGACAGTTGGAAGCACTTCAGTGTTCATTTTTGAAGATTTTAATTTATCCAACTTGAAAAAAATAAGGAATTTTCAGAGAGAAATGCTTCTTTGCTTTTTAAAATCTGGTTTGAAGTAAAATAGCTTTTAAAAATAAAAAAGCGAGTCTGAATGAATTGAAATTAGTATGGTAATTGTGAATGGAATACAAAGAGTGAGAAAAAAGAGGGGCTAAACATATTTAAAGAAACTTTTAAGATGAAAGTCAAATCTTCACAGGATGCTTTAAAACAGTGACATAGCATAATGTAATAAGCCAAATAAGCAATCTGGACACCTGGGATAGTCACTTGCGTTTTGATTTTTATTTTGTTTGAGACATTTGTTCAGTTCTGAATTTTAACTTTAGTGGACCACCTACTGTAGGATGATGGAAGGAAGCAGAATATCAGAATATTGCTTTGGATATTTTGAATTTATGTTTTCTCTAATTTTCTTTTCTGATCTTTTGGTCTCTTGCACTGTTAGAATGGATATTATGATCTAATTTACATTTTGAACTTCCCAGCAGAAATATAGCTTTATTTTTATGAAACATCTTCTGAGATCTACTTTGCTTTTATAAATTACTGATTTTCTCTCATACCAGTGAATGAATATTTCTGTAATACTTTTAAATGTAAGAAGTTTTTCTATATTAGCTACATAGTAGATGTGCCACAGATATTCCTTGCTGCATTAATTGTTTGGGTTGTTTTAAACATTCTTTGTATTCCTGGGTTCATTTGTGGAGACTTGAATCTTTGTGGTAGTTTTTGAACAAAAGATTTACAACTTTTGTGGTTTGGATACAATTTCCTTAATGATTAAGTTGAGATCATGGGACAGCTTAAAAGGAATGCTAGTTAAAACAAAACACTAGGCTTGAGAACACCAGTGTAACATTCAACACTAACTTCTCAGTTGGAATATTTCTTTTCTTTATATACGTAGGAGAATTTACATAGATGTTGATGACTGAGCCTGGATTCTTCTACCTATCTTGTTTGTTAAAAAATTTTCCTATTTTTAAAAAATCCTCTGAAAATCATGGAATATGGGTTAGGTGATCTCTAATGGGGAAAGATTCTAGATCAATTCCTGCATTATTCTGTGTGCCCTTTTCGGTGATTAATGAGATTGAATTGTTTGTTCTGCAATTTGAATGATCATCTATCTGCACATAGAGATCAGTATCTAATGTCATTTTCAAGTCTCAAGCTGGAACAAAGGTAAAGGTGCCTACGCCACAGGAGGAAGTAGATAGGGTACAGTTGATGACCTCTCTGCTTGGTTGACATTGCAGGACAACACCTATCGATAGTGGTATACAGTTCTGAATTACTTAAATTTATAGGTGATGTTGAATGAGTTTTGAACTATCTTGTACAACACTAAAATGATAAGCCTTTTTGTTTATTTAGTAGAGTTTATAAAAAATCTTTTAAGTTTAAAAAAAGAAAAAAAAAAAAACGGTGGCAAGTGCAGGGAGCTCACATCCACCCTTTTACTTTCAGTTATCTTTAAGATTTACATCTTGCCTTGAAGTGGCAGATTTGTTGCAACTGATGTGCAAAGGACCTTGCATTGTCATTAATTAAAGCCTACAGTTTACATTAGGGCTCTTTCTGTTTGCCGGGTGTTCTGTGGGTTTTGGTCTCTGTGTGATGACAAGTACTCACCACTACAATGTGAAAAGAATAATTTCATTGCCCCCACATTCTGTTGTGGTGCTTAAAGAATACAATGTATTTTATTTTTCCAAAGGAGGAAGATATGCTCCGTGCATTGCCACCCACCCAATTGTTGAGGTTTAGATGTGTAGTACATACATTATATTTATTTAAAATATAATTTGCTAATGACTTCCTTTTAAGCTTAATAAATACCTGGGCTTTAAAGTTGTGAATGTGACTAAATCATAGAAACTCATTTCATTACAGTCCCAGGAGAAAAATGTAAGAAACTTCAACAGGCATTTGTGAGCTTATAGCTTCAATTTACCAATGAGTTAATTCCAAAAATCTTTGAAAGTCAAATCATTGCTTATGAGTGGTCTCCTGTGCTCCTGGAGTGAGCCTCTTTTTCTTCATAACTAAGTATTGATGACATTCTCTTGATTTTTCTTTTGGGAAGGGAAAAAAGGTCGCTTCTCAGAACTTTGAAGTAACCTTCATTTCATATTTTTTCTCTCTTTTTATGGGTAATATTTCCTTCTCATTGCTTCATTTCAAGAACATGTAACCTTAAAGGAATTTATTATTGTTGCTAAGCATATTTTGCCAAATTGGTACAGCAATAAATACTTGTTGACTGGTTGACTGTAACTTAAGTAGTATAATGTCAAGAGATTGGAAATGATTGACCAGATGCAGATTCTGAGTTTCCTAGGTAAGAACTAAGCAGATATGAAATCAAATGGTAATTTTTAATCCAGTCTTTAAATCAACCACTAAATACTTACTACTATATTATTAAATTTCGCTTCTATTGGTACAGGGTACCCCATTGGTGCAGGGTAAGGTTCAGCTATCTCCTGTACCAGCCAGTGCACATACAGGTGAGTGCAGCTGCCTGGTTAATCCCACCCCAAACTCCAGCTATCATCTGAAACAGAGGATACTACAGCCCAGTCCGGCCCAGCACATCCTCATGCCTGGCTCTTGTATGCACCAGCAGCTAGTAGATGCTGCAGTCCAGTCAAGATTATCTGAAAAACCCTTACTTTACCTGCCCTCAACCCTGGCTTTCCTGCTTTCCAGTAGGTGCAGTGGCTTAACTTGACCTGCTCCATCCCCTGCTGCAGTTCTCCCATGCACACCTAGGGAAACTCCAGATAACCTTCACCATGCCCACTCCCCAGGCCTGGTTTATGTACATGTCTCTGGTGCTGCAACCTAGCCTGACTCGGCCCACTCCTGGCCCCAGCTTTTGTTAGCAGGTGCTTCTGCCCAGTTTAGATCGACTACCAGGCCCAACTCCAGTCCTAGTTCTTATGTATGCTGACAGGTGTCTCTGGTGTCAGTTTTTCCTGGAGGATGTTGTGACCTATTCAAGCCCAGCCTGTCTCCATAAGCATCTCTTGCATTTGGGTGGATGCCTTGTTCTGACCCAGGTAGATCCTCTGGATTCTCCCTTCTGATCTGCCTCATCTCAACTCTCTTGATTACCACCAGTTTTAGTGACCTGGTCCATAGTAGCCCCATGAAGCAATTTCTGTACATATCAAACAAACTCTCAGTTGTTCGTATTCTGATCTGCTACCAGATCCCCTTCTCCAGGCAATGCACTCCTCTGTTCCCAAACCACCCATGAGGCACCTTGGCTGGGGCACAGGACGGGCAAGTGATGTGGCACCCAGACTCCAAAATAA